GCTGAAGATGGCTTTATCTGAAAGAATCCTGCAGACGTTAGCAAAGTATCCCACAAGAAGACTAGCTTGGGATGGAATTCGTGAATAACCACTAGGTTCTATTTTCTAAAATGATCCAACATCAAATCTGATTCGCAGATGTTAATGAAATACTGAAGCATTCAAAACCAACTCAGTTTGTAGTGCGTAATCAGATATTTTTTGAAGTATCGGTTAACACAATTAATTGTCGTCCCCCATTTTGCTAGGTCCTTTGTAGCTGCACGAAGCGTCGCTCTTTTACGTCTCTTCTCGTCAACGATGGACCTACGGATTCGCTTACGCGGTGGTGTCCCTGGACTGTTAGTGTCAGCAGAATTAAAAGGGGTCCATTTCAATCAATAATGCAATTGGTGACGTGATTGGCAAGTTTTTCCCACTGCTTTACCTAGTTGTTGACGCCAACTCGTCAGAAATCAACCGATCTGGTCTCGAGGCAGTCATTAGCCCGCATGTAGACATGTACGTCTTTGCAGAATGTTGTGCTTCGTAGACGCCTATAAGTGAGCGAGAGGCCAGTAATCTAAATGAACGAGGCCAGGAATACAAAGCGGATGTGTCATAACCTAACAGTCGTGTTGTAGAATCTGGATGGCGTCTTCAAGCCGCACCATCACTAGTCCACGACTGGCATGTCACTTCGATTGGAATGCTTCGTGCAAAAGGCGTGGTGGGGACCGATGCAGGCGCTGATCGACTACCAAACTCTGTGCAAGCATTCCACAATGTCCGAGGCATTCACGATCTCCGTGATGCTCGTGAAGGCGAAGGTTCTACATGATTTGCTGCACTGCTTGCACTTCACGTCGCGGCGTCACTTCTCTTGGCTTCAGTGCCAAGGTGACACAAAATCCTCTATTTGGGTACATGAGTGTACCCCTCAGTCGCTCAATCGTTTCTCCATCATCGCATGCGGTGCCCACGCTACCATCAACTGAACCCCGTTCATCGACCACTGGTGGCCACTGATGATGTCCTGGTAGCCATTTTATCTGCTGAGCAAATTTCTTTGGTTTGGTTTGGATCAGATCAACCTTCAGAACA